AGCATTGCTTGATTGGCCAGGGTTCAAGATGTACAACTGGATATCATCACCAGTATACTGATGATACCTGACCCCAAACTCACCCAATGGCCTCATGTAGATGTTAAATAAGAGGGATGAGAGCACCGAGCCCTGGGGGGGTTGGGGTTCAACCTCTCCCCCATCCCCCCATCAATGACTACAACTGGCTGCAGAGAAAGGAAAACCACTGCAACACTCTGGACACACCCCTCCACTCCCCTGCAGCTAGTACAGAAAGTTACCAAGGTGGATGGAATCAAACGGTGCCGAGAGATCTCAGAGGGCTGGGATGGTTGCACCACTTCTGTCCCAACTCTGCCAATGGTCACCAACAAGGGCAACCAATGCCATCTCAGTACTATGTCCCAACCTGAAACCTGACTGAAAATGGTTCAGGTAATGTTTTATTCAGGACCTTCTGTAGCTGTAACCCAACCATATTCTCAATAACCTTCGCTAGAACCCTAACTCCAACCTTCTTGAGGAGGGCACACACCACTGGTATCTTCAGGAACTATCCTCTCTCTCAAAGAGGCTGACACCACTATATGGACCAAACTGTATGTCACCTCTTGACCAGCCTTCACAAGCCAGGAAGGACAAGACTCTAACAAACAGGTAGCTGGGTTAACACTCCTGAGGATCCTGCCCACTTCCTTAGGAGTCACTGGATCAAATTCCTCCCAGATAACCAAGTCCATCCCTCTGCCATCTCATCTGGACCTGGTTCAGTCAGAATTCAACTCATCCAAGAGACTTTGTCCACTAGATGGCTAGAATATTTTTCAGTGGCTCAATATATGTTATTTTTTCTTTTTTATATTTAGTTTTGTAATTAGGGAGGATTTTCAAGGAACAAAATTAGGGTCTAAGCTTTGCAGAATTATTGAATGAGGCCTAACTGTTATCCATGAAGCCCCCACCCCCATCTCTAAATAGTCCTTGCTTATTCATATAACATTTTTTTTTTTTTTATCTGCGCTTAGTCGTTACCGACTCTGCAGTGACTGCTTGGACGAGTCCTTGCAGTTTTCA